ACGGGCAAATTTAGGAGCCTTAATTTACGGCATAAATAGACTGTGAAGCATAATTCAAACTGCACAAAAAGCAGAAGATAAACTAGATGAATAGGACCTTCTGAAAATCAAATTTTTATGTGCTTCAAAAGACTTCTTCAAAAGAGTAATAAAGAACCCACTGATAAGGAAAAAACATTTGGTAATAACATATCTGACAAGGGACTTATCTCTAAAATTTATAGAAAACTGCAACACCTCAACAACAAAAAGACAAACAATCCAATTCAAAAATGAGCAAAGACATGAATAGACACTTCACCAAAGATGTTATTCAGGGAGCCAACAAACATATATTGAAATGTTCATGATCATTAGCCATTAGAATGATGCAAATCAAAACAACAATGAGATATCATCTCACCCCAGCACTAATAGCATAGTTCAAGACAGAAAATAACAAATTCTGGCAAAGATGTGGAGAGACTGGGACTCTCATACATTGCTGGTGGGACTGTCAAATGATACAACCACTGTGGAAAGCAGTATGGTGATTCCTTCCAAAGTTGGAATTAGAAATACCATTTGATTCAGTAGTCCCATTATTAGATATATATCCTAAAGAAGTGAGAGCCAGGACAAGAACAGATATATGCACACTCATGTTCACCACAGCACTATTTACAATAGCAAAAATACAAACTCAACCTAAGTGCCCATCAATAGAAGATAACCAAACATGGTACATACACACAATGGAATACTATGCAACACTAAAGAATAACGTAGAATCTGCAAAATATTGCATAACGTGGATGAACTTGGAGGACATTATGCTGAGTGAAATAAGTCAATCACAGAAGGACAAATATTGTATTAGTCCGTTATTGTAAAAAGTCAAGGAAAGGTTTATACATGGAAGGAAATGTTGTTGGTTAACAGGAGTAGGAGGAGAGTGGAGAACACTGCTAGATAGGTAGAGACAAGGACTGATTTGGGTGAAGAAAAGGGCAATGTATCAAACTTGAGTGATCAATACAGTGGCACTGAGGAAGAGGAAGACATAGAGAAGTGTATAGGAGGTACAGACAACAAAGATGAACCTTTTTGTGTGTACAGTACTGCATCGTCAGTGATGGCAAGCAATGATCTACAGGTGGACAGATGGACTGTCAGGCTGAAGATCAGGTATGTGTAGGCAAGGGGGAGCATGCCAATGACCACGTACAGGGTTAGCAAACAATGTTTCTACATGCCTATTTGTATGTGTCATAAGAATGCCCAGGTGTATACTAGAGCTGACAAGGGGCAAGGCTGTGATGGCTTCTTGGCTCTAGCAGTTACCCAGAAGGAGTGAGTAGCTGGATCTGTGAGCTCAGGACAATGGTCACTAGGGACATCAAGCTCAACTGGCATAACATACTACACAAAAGCACTGTTCTACATCCTACTTTGGTGAATAGTGACTGGGGTCTTAAAAGCTTGCAAGCAGCCATCCAGATGCAATGATAGGTCTCTCATCATCCACAGCAAGGAAGAATGAAGAAAACCAAAGATGCATGGAAATAATTAGTCCAAGGGACTGGTACACCATGCAATCCTCAGCCTATATGGTCATGAGACCAGAAGAACTAGATGGTGCCTACTACCACTGTCAATCACTCGGACAAGGATAGGTACAAAAGATCCTGAATAGAGCAGCAGAACTATGTGGAATAAAAATCAAAATCATTAAAAAAAAAAAAAACGGACCAAGTTTGCTGGTCTGATAGAGCCTGGTGAAACCCCTGAGACTAGGGCCCCTAGCCACTCTTCAGGCAGGCATATGAGATGAACAGTTGCATTAGGTGGATGCACTCCTTGGAGAGATCAATCATGGGAGAATAGAAGGGCTGTGTATGCACAGGGAGACAGCTTGGGGGGCAGGAGTGCATGGGAGGGAAGGACACAGGGCATAGGGAAGATATGGCTATGGGGAGGAAGTGGGAGGAGAGCTGTTGCATTGTGGGAGATTACAGTCAATGTCATGAGACAAAGTATATGTGAACTACTGTATGGAAGATGAATTTTCCCTGTAAACTTTCACCCAATTTACAATACAGTTAAAAAAAAAAAACCATATAGAGACACCAGGTTTGCTGGTCTAACAGAGCCTGGTGAAAGCCCTGAGACTATGGTCCTAATTACCCTTAAAATCTGGAATTGAACTCACTCCTGTGGCTTACTGGCAAATAGACAGGCATATGAGGTGAACATTTACATCTGGTAGATACACTCCTTGTAGTGATCAATCATAGAAGAAAAGAAGGGCGATATTTGCACAGGGAGATAGCTCGGAGGGTGGGAATGCATGGGAGGGAAGGACAGAGGGAAGAGGTTACTACAAGGAGGAAGTGTGAAGAGAGCTGTTACAGTGTAGGGAATTGCAGTCAATGAATGTCATGATACAAAATGTGTATGAACTTCTGTATGGAAAATGAATTTGCTGTGTAAACTCTTACCCAAATCACAATACAAACTTCAAAAAAAAAAAAAAAGAGGAGGAGGAAATAAACCAAAACAGTAAGAATGGCATTACCTCTGAGCGTCTAATTATGGATTTTGGTTTCTTTTAAATGCTGTTCTTTATTTCTCAAATTTTCTAGAATAAAAATAATGACTACTATATTCAGAAAAATGTTAGAAAAACTATTTAAGAAAACTTCCCTGGAAAGAACTCAGGAGAAGAACTTTAACAATGCAAAGGAAATCTCAGATAAGAATTTTTTCTTTTTAACTCTGGTAGCGTAGTGCCTAAGGCACTTGACTGCTAACCAGAAGGCTGGCGGTTCAAATCCACCAGCCATTCCTCGGAAGGAAGATGGGGCAATCTACTTCCGTAGTGATACTGCCTCGGAAACCCAAGGAGGGGTCGCTATAAGTCGGGTCTGACTCGACAGCACATAACAACAACAATTAGAAGTTAAAAGGAAAATTTTTACCCGGTTTTTTCCCTAACAGGACACTTTTTCTGATTCCTAAAAGTAGTTCACTTGGGGGGAAAAAAATTATTTATCTATATTGTTGTTGTTGTTATGTGCCGTTGAGTCGGACCCAACTCACAGCAACCCTCCTTGGGTTTCCGAGGCAGTATCACTACAGAAGTAGATTGCCCAACCTTCCTTCCAAGGAGTGGCTGGTGGGTTTGAACCACCAGCCTTTTGGTTAGCAGTCAAGTGCCTTAGGCACTATGCCACCAGAGCTCCTATCTATATCTATAGTTATATAGATGTATGGGTCTGGGCCGACTCGATGGCACATAACAACAACAACATAGATATGTAGATTTTCTTTTTCTGAGTAGTAATGACATTTAAAAGCATGCCATACTTACTTGTTCATTAGCTTCAGAGAATAATACTTCAACCTCATCCAAAATCAGGTGACAGAGTCTAAGGAATAACAAACTTTGATATTTAAGAAGTCTCAGGAGGCTATGTGGTGTTGTAACAATCACATCACCTACATTTTAAAAGAAAAAATAATTAACATTTTTAAATTTCCAGAGATTTTCCTAACATTTCCTTTGCTGAGATTCCACATACCTTCTAGAAATGCCCTCTCATTAAGCAAACAAAAACATGTTTTTCTTATTCAAGCAGATGACGCAAGATGGCCTGACTACCCAGGTTAATGACTGTAATTATCTAATTAAATTATCACAAAGTTTTGCATTCCTTAAAGGTAGAAGGGTTTTAGTTGACACAATGTGTCCAGCTTCTAACAAACAGTTGGTGCTCAATAAATAATTGATAACATTTTCTCAGTGAAAGAGATGTAAGCCAATGTCAAACTTTCATAATCTGTACAGTCTATAACCAAAAAAAGCAGTTGCTGTCCAGTAAATTCTGACTCACGGTGATCATAATCTATATCCACTAGTAATTGACAAGTGAAGTCTGGACTAGTAGCCACTGCCCTGTGCCATCTGCAGCTCCTGAGCATGCCTAGGCAGGGTCCCATTATCTTCAGTAGAGAAAACCAAACAGCTCTGGAAGGATGCTTACACCCTCTTGGAAGCTTCATATTTTTGGCTTCATCTTTGTGGAGTCCAATTGTTAGTAACAAAGGATGAAGAGGTCTGGAGGACATGCTATACTCTCCCAATAATTCAAAAATAAATTGGGCCTTTTTCCACCCAGGGCACACGATGACTGCAAGAGGCTGCAATGACAGACAAATAAACATAATTTGGGACAAAAGCTAAGAATCAAATATGTGAAGACTTCAGAACACCTCCTTGCACAGAGTTATAACTTTATAGTGTTTGTTATCATTATCATATAGGTCAGAAAAATCCTACTTACATGAACTATCCAGAATAGGTAAATGTATAGAGACACAGTTCTTCAGTAGTCACTAGGGTGAGTAAGAGGGGGAAACGGGGAAGTATTGTTTAAAAAAATTTGGAAACAGATATTCACCATTGTGAATGTAATTAGTGCCATTGAATTGCATACTACGAGAGAATCCGGGAGCTCTGGCAGCATAGTGCCTAAGGCACTTGACTACTAACCAGAAGGCTGGCGGTTCAAACCCACCAGCCACTCCTTTGGAAGGAAGATGGGGCAATCTACTTCTGTAGGGATACTGCCTCGGCAACCCAAGGAGGGGTTGCTATGAGTCAAGTGCTACTCAATGGCACATAACAACAACAACAACATGAGAGAATCCAGGAGCTCTGGTAGCGTAGTACCTAAGGCACTTGACTGCTAACCAGAAGGCTGGCGGCTCAAACCTATCAGCCACTCTTCGGAAGGAAGGCTGGGTAACCTACTTCTGCAGTGATACCACCTTGCAAACCCAAGGAGGGGTCTCTATGAGTTGGGTCCGACTTGACAGCACATAAGAACAACAACATGAGAGAATCTATGACTGGGAGGAGAAAAAAAGATAATTTCTCACAGCAGTTTAGAAACCACATTGAGTAACGTAGCCTGAACTTTACCAAATGTTAGATGTAAAATTTAAAAGTAAACATTTAATCTATTTTATTGTAAGGCAAAACTGTTTTGAACTTACCCCGTTTCTACTTGGTAATGACTTATAGCAGACCCCTGTTTGCAAAATTGTAAGCGCTGGTGGAAGGTACAACAAAGGGTCATTTCCACAATGAGAAATGACAACCACATCACAGCCACGAGCTATGGGAGGCCAAGAGTACGATTCAGTGTGGCTAGGTCCTGAAAACTTTTTTCTTTGAAGAGCCTATGAAACATCAACAAGCAAAAAACCACAATGAAGTACAGAAGACTAAGAAAAACTGCATCTTGTTTACTTTACTCAAATAACCAGTATGCATTGCTCAATCCGGTATTTTTCTGATTTATAAACCACCCTGAGTCTTTGCTTAGGACCAAACTCCTGCTGTTTTTAGATACTTGCTTCTCTGGGATCCAAATTAAAAAGGATCAAGTAAGCCGCCCATTAACCAGGTGCTTAAAGCTCACTGGAGCAAAGATGTGGCTTTTTCTCCTTATTTTCCTAATAATCTACCATTGTATCAGCATCACTTGTAAATCATCTTCTCCTTTTTCTCTTTTATTTTTTAATAACTTTTTATTGTAATCTGGGCAAAAGTTTACAAAGTAAAATGGTTTTCCCTTTGACAATTCATATATATTTTCTTTTGTGATACTGATGGCAATCCCTACAATGTAACAGCACTCTTCCCACTACTGCACTGTGTCTACTGTTTCCCTTCATCCTTCTTTCCTATCTCTTCCTGCCTTCTGAGCAATAAAGCTTCTTTTTTAAAACATGGCTTTATTTGCTTATTTTTCTATATAACCGTCACTAAAACCTTCCAAACATTCTAAGAGTTCTCCAACCATACTGATACTATTTTCCAAAGGGCTGAAACCATCAGCACCACTGTCTCCATGAAGGCCCCATTCCCAGAGCTCCTCTAAACCCCTACGCTATCTGGACTGTTACCCTCTGCACTTGGCATCCACCTGTCATCTTGTGATCTTTCTTCACCATCACCATATTGTCTGTAATCCATGTCATCTTGTTTTGGTGAAACACATACATCAGTAGCTTTTTGACAAAAGGTGCAAAGGAAGGCAAATTGCTTTGAGATTCTGCAGATCTGAAAATGTCTTCATTCTACCCTAATGCTTCACTAATAGTTTAAGTGTGAACCTTTAGATCAAAAGTCACTTTTCATCAGAATGATCAGTGCTCCTCTGGTGTTACTATGGATAAGTCTGAAGCTATTCTGACTCCTGGGCCTATGTGTGGGAACAGTTTTTTCTCTCTGGAAGCTTCCATGATCTCTGAATCCTTCCAATTTAGATCCTTCACAACAATTTGCCTAATATCTTTGTTCATCGGTTGTGCTGGGCTTGTGGCAGACTCCCTTAATTTGAACATTTATGTCTCTTAAGTCCAAAATATTTTTCATGTTTTCTCCTGTGAATTTTATGCTCTCTTCCTTCTCTCTTTCTAGAAATTCCATTTTCAGATATTGGGCCTCAAACTGACCCTCAAATGCTCTTTTTTTCCCTCCTACTTTCCATTTCTTTTTCTTTCTGTTGGTACTTTCTGAGAGTTAGCCTTCATTTTCTCTCTCAAACCTACCACTGATTTTTTTGTTTCTAAGAAAAGACAGAAAAAGTCAAGGATTTCATTTTACTTAGATACAGAATCAACACCCATGGAAGCAGCAGTTAAGAAACCAAACGATATTTTGCATTGGGGAAATCTGCAGCAAAAGACCTCTTTAAAAGATTTAAGAGCAAAGTTTGCACTTTAAGGACTAAGGTGCAACTGACCCAAGCCATGGTATTTTCAACTGCCTTATATGCATGCAAAAACTGGACAATAAATAAGGAAGATCAAAGAATTGACTCCTTCGCATTATGGTTTTGGCTAAGAATACTGAATATATATCATGGACTGCCAGAAGAATGAACAAATCTGTCTTGGAAGTTGTTCAGCTGGAATGCTCCTTAGCAGCTAGGGCAGCGAGACTTCTTCTCATGTACTTTTGTTATCAGATGGCACCAGTCCCTGGAGGTCATCATGCTTGGTAAAGCAGAGGGTCAGCGAAAAATAGGAAGATCCTCAGTGAGATGGACTAACACAGCAGCTGCAACACTGGGTTCAAACATAGCAATGACTGTGAGGATGGCCAAGACTGCGCAGTGTTTCATTCTGTTGTACATGGGGTTGCCGTGAGTCAGAACCAATTCAACAGCACCTAACAACAAGGTATTTCTGAAAACATTATTTTGTTTCTATAATATAAAATAAATAATATTAATAAAATATAATATTCTTGTTTCTATACTATTCTTCAATTTCTTAGAACTTTTTCTTATTGTCTGATTGTTCCTTTTTTTACAACACCAGGGTACTGTTAAAGGAGCTCTGGTGGTATGGTGGTTAAGGCATTTGGCCCTTAATCAAAAAGGTCAGCGGTTCAAACCTATGGAATAAACATGAGGAAGCCTACTGCCGTAAAGATTTACAGTCTTAGAAACCCAATGGGGGTTGCTATGAGTCAGAATCGAGTTAATGGCAGTGAGTTTGGTTTGGTTTTGGTTGTTGTTGTTGCTATGTGCTGTGGAGTCGGACCTGACTCATGGATGTACAATCTTCTCTTATCTCTGAGGGTATCTTTTTAAACAACTTCTTCTACTCCCTGCATTTTCTGTTTCCTTCAGAGTTTGTGCAGTGTAGTGAATTACTATTATAAGGCCCTTCTAGCCATGATCTTCTGACTCCCACAAAATGACTGGGTGGGGCTATGCAAATAAGGTATGTGTGGCCCACCAAGGGGACTGGACAGCTTGCTAAAAATGCAAATAAGGTGCATGAAACCCTTGGGGTGGTGAGAACATGTAAATAAGGTGTATGGAACCCTTGTAGGTTATTGGTCAGCACTGCTATTCTACTAGGTTTAAATGAGCCAATCCCAGACTGCGAGAAGAAGGACCTTAAGAGAAAAGAGCAGAGTGAGTCTTTTAGACTTGGAATCCCTGCACTGAGAACCTCCTGGACCTAGCATACAGAGAGAACTGTAAAACTAGAGAAGTCATAAGATGGCAAAAAGTGGTTTCAAATGGATCAAAGACTTAAATGTGAAACCTAGAACTATACAGTTTCTCAAGGAAAATTTAGGCTCAAACTTAAGGGCCCTAATATTTGGTATAAATAGAC